ATATGATGATCAGCACAGCCAACAGAAGGATGCCGGTCGATCCCTGAAGCCCTTCAAAAGCAACTCTCTTGGTGCAAATTCAGCTTGTGGACAGCACACAGCAGATGGGGTAAACCATGCCATCAAGTGGAAAATAGACCTGTTGTGTTGTCACGGAGACAAGATACAAGATACAACAGTCTGCCAATTGGACCACCAGAGGAAACTGTAAGGGGGATTTTTAACAAGTAGCAGTAGCAACAATATGAAGCCTTTATTCTTAACTTTATATTCACTGAGTCAAAGAGCCTGTTTCGGTTTAAGACAGACTTACCTGTCAAACACAGTTTCTGCTAAATTTGAAAAAGATAGAACTGGTGTTTTTCCTGTACTATTGATGCTGTAGTGGGAAATTTAACACCATGCGCTTTTTCTCTCATTTCATGTTCTGTAGTGTAAAAGTCAAGCAAAGAGGATTAAACTGACAAATATCCTGACTCACTGCTGCCACCTTGTGCCGGTGAAGGGAAGAGGCCAAGCCACTTTGCAGTCATAAAATTTTGTAGCGATGCCATTCACAGTACGGAATAACATATATATGAGCTCATCTACACTGATTTGAAAAAAATACATAAATAAAATGTGGGCCTGGGCATTTTCCCTTTATCTTAAAAAAGATATATTTTCGTTATTTTAGCGTCTGATCCCACAAAATGTAATTCAGATAGTTTCAGCTCACTTTTTTTAATATAATTATAAATTATTCACATCAGTGGCAGGAAAGCAGCACTTTTTCCCTACATGTAAAGAAGGAAAAAACGAAACTATCCTAGTACTATCCTGATTTCTTTTCTTTTTTCATAAAAAGAAGCACTTGCACCAAACAGGTATTTTCAAATTTATAGGAGGCGGTAAGGGCGTAAACAGACAACTCCATCACAGCAAAGTCAAGTGTCATTTTTGGCAGTATTTCACAATTTAATAGTACTTCCATAATTCATAGGCCAACAACATGTCAACAGGTCATTTTTACAAAAGCCATTTAAGGGATTTAATGGGAAATAGTCATAATAAATTCTTATACTTATTCAAAAGCTATGTATTTATTAATATTATGAATTAAAGGGGAACTTCACCCACATCACAGAAAAAAAAATTTCTACTCATTACACTGTACATGTAACCATGCAATTCATCTCAGCTTTCACTGGGAAATTGTTGACAACAGTGAGATTTTACAGATGATCCTGAGGAGCCAGGATCATTTCTGGAAGATGTTAAGTAAGCACCGGAAACAAAACTGCATCCACTTTCCTTGTTTGTTGGTGGCAGCAGAAGACGCAGAAGTGGAGATAATAAAATCGGAATAAACAAAACAAATATTTACACAATTAAGTGGTAAGTGCGAGTATGCTTTTTGTGCGATTTGGTTGAAATGAACCTTTAAGCTGGCACACACATGCAAAATGAGATGTTTAATTGAACTCAAACATTTTTTTTAAATGTTTCCAAATGAAACATAAGGTGACAGGTTGGTAAAAAAAAGAAAAATTCCACTGTACCTTGTTTATACATTATACCCATCACACCAAATGATTAAGTAATAGTGCAGTGGTTTCTTTTGTACACGAGGCAGCAGTTCTTAAAAGTACATGGCTTACTTTACTGATGATATTTTCAAGTCCTTCTTAAACATGTATCATTAATCACATTCCACAAAAGTTTGAGTGCAACACATTCGTGTGTTCTTTAACTTTCTCAGAGCAACACATGCCCATGTGATGCAGATGAAAGTGAGATATGAAGACACCTGTAACACAATAACAGGTTGAAATCAGTCAGTCTTATCTGTTGTTATTATATTTATATAAGTTATATAAAGATGATTGGAAGGTATATATATATATAATTGTGTATATAAGGCCGATTGTATCTACCTTCTATCAACTTGTTATATCTGGAGATTGATGAATGGTGCAAATCCTAGCACATCCTGCAGAAGTACAAGTGCCCTCTGTAAGGGCGGCTCAACATCAATCACTACATTGCGCTTCCGTAAAGGATCGAGGCTAGACTCTGTCACATTGTGGCAGTGATTCACCTTCAGCGACTGCAGCTTTGGGCAATACTCTGCAAGAGTCCTGTGAGCACAGCATGCAGAAGATTTTATGGAAGGGTGAACAAGTGAGCTAGTTGATAACAAAGCGTGGGAAGGAACAGCTCAAAGTCAGTTAGACTACTCTTTAAAATAAGATATCGCATACCTGATGGACTGGTTCCTGACCCGCAGGCAACCTGTCAGGTCCAGCTGCTCCAGACCCCTGCAGTTCTTGGCCACCTCCTCCACTGACTCATCGGTGATGTTGGCATTGACTGCCAGCGATAGAGACCTCAAATTTGAACACTTCTTGGCCAGGTAGCAGATGGCATCGTCCTTCAGCTGGCGACAGGCGGTGAGGTCGATCGACTGCAGCCCCCCGCAGTGGTCAGCCAGGCTGCGCAGGGACAGGCTGTCCACCCATTCGCAGTGTGCCAGGCCAAGGTGTTGCAGGTGCATGCAGCTCAAGGACACAGCCACCAGGGAGTGGCGGGTGAGACATGCACACCCGCTCATGTCCACCCTTTGCAGATGTTGGTTCTGGCCAATAACTGGCAGCAGTTCCTTATCGGACACCCAGTCTGAACAATTCTGCAGTGACAAGTTCTGCAGAACTTTATTGTCTTTTAACATGGAGCAAAATGCTTCCCTGGGAATGCATGGTGAGGTCTGTAAATATGACATAAGAAGAAAGAGGGCAGCCCTCCTTTATGAGCATGTAATGCAGCTGGAAATCACGTCATTTCTTATCAGCACTTACCGGGAACAGATGAAAGGTCCTGCAGTTGGATAGGTACACCTTAATGAGGTTGTGGAACTGCTTGCTCACCCTCTGGAGGCTGACAAGGTGTTGCAGCGGTAAATAGCACAAAATATGTGGAACAAGTACATCCTCCCAGGGCAAGTCCAAAAGATGGCATCTGCTGAGGAGCAAACCTTGTTACAGATGAACTTTGATACTTCGGCGTGCTGATGCAAAGCAGTTTAACGGAATTATAAACACCGTTACATTTCAGCAAGCGCTTTGACAGGGAGACAGAACAGCAATTAACATTAGCAATAGATAACGATAGCTTTGTCAAGGAGATGGGTAGTTTATAGAAAGTTAGCAGCAATCAATAAATGGGAGCAGCCATCTACATTTCAGCGACTTGGAAGCTATCGCTGTTAGCCGCGAAGCTAGCATGCCGGGGCCACGAATCCAGACCGTTTTATACGCAAAAGAAATCCCCTCTGAAAAGCACTTACGTTCGCATCTTAGCTTCTTCATCCATTATGAACCCGTTATGTTACAGTACGTTTCCACGAACATATCATTCTTCCCATGGATGACAAAATAAAATAGTTTCCTTTAGCATCTTCTAAAGCAATCAAGGTGTAACCTAAGCCTGATGGTGCGTTAACGGACAGTCAGAAGGATATAGATCAAAATAACAAGAGGCTCACCAAGTGTCGCCGAGTGATGTAAATTTACACGTCAAAGAAGGAAGTAGTAACTTACGGGGGAAACATTCAAACTCTTATTGCAACTTAGAGCTATTGCTTTTCTATGAATTTCTATTTGATTTTTAATTCATTCGTTTAATGAATCTAAAGAGACCCAGTTCAAAAATCAAAAAATCAAAATCAAAATCAAATCACTTTTATTGTCACATCGCATGTGCAGGCACACTGGCACAGCACATGCGAGTGAAATTCTTGTGTGCGAGCCCCACAAGCAACAGAAATGTGCAAACACAACAACACAAACCAGCACGGTTGCGCTGTGTTGTTAACTAAAGTAACAACTAAAACACCATCCTATCAGAGACTGTATTTTTTAAACGTATTTACAGTGTGCTGCACTAGAATGCCCGAGAATTAACATCTTAGCTTTGATATAGTCGTGGCTTTGTGGTTTACAGGGAGAACTTGAACTCAGCAGTTGTAATTTTCCGGGTTGACGTCAGTGGTAATATTCAAAACAATTTATAGATTGATTGCCATAACTGTAATAAATGAAAACTTGTTATTGATTTTTAAAGATCTCTGGATCTTCTTACAATCAAATATTTAGCTTATTTCATGCGCATTTCTTAAAAATATTATATTGATTTTTCCCCCAGTTTAATACAGTACCTCGAAGTAAGTTACAAAGTAACATTTATGAAGAGATTATCAACAAAAGAAAAATAATGTACTCACTTTAAACACAAAAGAAATAACTTCCATCTTGTAATTGTACAACTCTATACAAATTTGAATTTGAAACAAATCCATGCACAAAACACTATAACTAAAACCTGTCCTGGCACAGAATGTAGAACTAGTTGTTGGAAAAGTTGTTGGAAAAAGTACAAATAAAAGTAATAGATCAATTCAGCCATGAGAACTTGCGCACCCCTGTTAATTACCATAGTTACCATATCATACAATAATCAAAAATTGTTTTGTTAGCCCACAAGGGCTTACTTTATTAGCTTTGTTGTAGTTTGAAATATCATATGCATACTATTTTTAAGCAAAGATTTTCAGATAATTACTGCTAAAAGCAAAGATCCATATTTATGTTTAATATGTACTTTCCTGGTTGCAGTTGGCTGCCTATTACTTTTTACAACCACATGTTTGGTATACAAGTGTTGAACAATTAGCCATGTTGCCTGCTCACCTCTGGCCAGAAGAACAATGAAGTCAGTCATGCTGAACAATTGCTGACCCATGAGTTGTGTTTCAGTGGATGAGACGAGCCAACAGGCTAGTTGAGTGAATACTCACTCTTGACCAACTGCGGTCACATAGACAAGCTAAAGAACAAGCATGGCAAATAAATCAGTCTATGATTTCTCTACTGAGACCCTGGATGGACAGCCGGTTCCACTCAGTAACTACAGAGGTAAAGTGCTTCTCATCGTCAACGTTGCAACATTCTGAGGGTCAACAATAGAGGAGGTAATATTCTGCAAGAGTTGACTGATTACTGTCAGACCACATTAACTCGTTATATTGAAGGCGATTGATTTTATGCCTTGTTCTCCCAGTACCACCGACTGAATGCACTCATGGAAATGTTTGGCCACCTCAATTTCACTGTCTTAGGATTCCCCTGCAACCAGTTTGGTCTCCAATCACCTGGTAAGGTGGATAATAGGGACCTGTATTGTTCTGTTATGGGAGCTTTGCATGCCACACTTCAAAACAAACCAGATTTTTTTTATCTTTAATTTCTGATTGATTGCCCCTCGCAAACAGAAGGTTTGAACAGCATGAGACTCTGCAGAGCTTGTTCTTGAAATGACCATATTAAGGACATTCCCTGTCTTTCATATGATACAGAGCACACAATAGAATAAAAAAAACTTTGTAAAAGTTTTATTTAAAACAACGGCCATATTAACTTGAAGCAATGAGCAACTATACTACTACTATTATCCATCATTGTAACGATATAGAAGTTAAAAGTCTGCTTATAATGCATTAATCTATTTGTACTTAAGGAATCTAAAAACTCTTTCCACCATATACAAGCTCTATTAGATGCACTGTGGATACTTTAATTAACAAGTTATTTTAAAGACAAGGTTTTGAATACACACGTGCAAAAAACAGAAGTATTAACTTTTTTTTTACGCTTGTCTGTGCAGAGGTGAATCATGAAATGCTCAATATTTTGAAGTATGTCAGACCTGGTGGGGGCTTTGTGCCAAAGTTTCCCGTCTTCAGCAAGGTTGAAGTGAATGGTTTAAACGAAGATCCTCTTTTCACCTTTCTGAAGGTACACTGAGTTTTATTGGAGGCTGGAAGATATAAGTTCACTGAATGGATTTATTACCCATATAGTTTATTTTTTTTCCTATCAGCGCTGCAGGTGCTTAACCCTGAAAAACTCAGATACCATGTCATTCCCTGTTTCACCACAGGAATCTTTGCCATTTGTCAACCCTGTTATTGGAGACATAAAGAAATTCTACTGGTCTCCGATCAAAGTCAATGACATTCGCTGGAATTTTGAGAAGTTTCTCATAACTGCAAATGGCATGCCCTTCAAAAGGTAAAGTCATAGACCATGAGTTAAACCCTTCATGTGATTTCAATTTTACTAAGTTCAGCATTTTCCCTTTGCTACAGGTATGAACTTCACTGTCCCATTGTGCAAGTGGAAAAAGACATAGCAGAACTTCTCTGATGGATTTTTTCAATATGTTGCTGGTGGCAGAGTGACGATCCCCCAGTAAATGCACAAGTGCACCTGAGCTGGATCTGATGGGAAGAGGAACGTGTCTTGGAGCTTCAGTGCATTCACTTTGAGAACAAGTTCCCTTCTGCCACTTAATGCGTTTTCATGTCACTGCCACGTTATTCTTTAATGTGATGGTGTCTGCTATTAAAAACACAGATGTAAATAAAACACTATATGAAAAATATGCACATGGTTATTGTTACTTTGCCAATAGAATTTCAGTATTATTTCTACATTTAACATATATTACATTACTAGACTGTCAATACAGATGAATCACTGTATAGAATTTATTAAAACTGCGATAGATAAGCAACTTGTCCAGGTGGTATCCGCTTTTCACCCTATGACTGCTGGAAAATGGAAATGGATGAATGGATGGAGTTTTGTTCTTTGTTGTTATGACTCCCCCACTTTTTTTTATTTGATAGAACTTCTAATACTCAAAAACACCGGTTTTGTGAGGTCTAAAAACAAATAGTTTGAATCTAGCTTAGTACGTTTTAAATTGTATTAAATCTTCATATATGTTTTTATGTATAAAACAGTTTTAATCTGGTAATGACCAGAGAAAACAATATTCTTTATCATTGGTGTAGAATAATGAACTAACATAAAATTAAAATACTTAAAACTGTGTATAAATATAATGTTTTAATATATGTGCTGAAGCACTTTGCATCAGTGGTATTAGTGTGTTACTTTTCAAGTGCACTGGGAGTATTTAACGGTTATTTACCTTTATTTACAAATTGTGAGTACGGAATTTTTCCTTCTGCCGAACCGTACTTGAAATCTTGCGCATGCGCACTTCAGAGTATGTCGAACAGCAGCAGCCAGTAAACATGGCTGGTGTTGGTTTCCGACGGTGGGCCCAGGCTCTGTCTAAGGGAAAGGGGTCTGGTATTTCAGCCCTTTTGTCGGGATGTAGAGCAGGTTAGTTGTGTCTTAGTCTGGTAGTGCTGTACAATGAATTTCTCTGGAGGTGTATATCAGGGTTTAACGTTTTTAGCCTCCTATGGACGTAACCTTGACATGCTAAGGTTGGCTTAGGCTAGCTTGGCGGCTGCTCTTCTATGAGGGTGCAGGCAGACAAAATAAAATTCTCATTTTTCCTTTTTTGAGCCTGCGAGCTTTGACTGCTGCGATTTCACGTATGCATTTATTGCTCTTTCAGCCTCCGGCTTGTCAAAGGACAGCCTGCCTGGGCCATATCCGAAGACCCCGGAGGAAAGCGCTGCAGCTGCAAAGAAGTACAACATGAGGGTTGAGGACTATGAACCATATCCCGACAATGGAGAGGGGTGAGCTTTAATTTTAACAAGTCTCATGATTGTTGTTGTAATTCTAACTGCTTTTGCCGGTACTGCTAATGTAGACGGCGAAAATGACTGTCCAGTCCATTCATTCTTATAACATTAAGTCACAATCAAACTGTAAGATTTCAAAGAAAATAATGAGCAATTACTGTGTTTTTGTAGCTTTGGTGATTATCCAAAACTGCCAGAAAGATCTCAGCAAGAGAGAGACCCCTGGTACCAATGGGACCACCCTGACCTGAGGAGAAACTGGGGAGAGCCGGTAAGATACCGACTGACATTAAAAGCTATTGTTGTCCTTTTTCTGAATAAATCATGAGTATAATGATGATGGTTCATACAGCAGTTGATTATTTGAAGTGCATTGCAGTAGTAATTATGCAGTTTTACCTGAATAATTGTGTCTAGGTTGTCTGAGTGGAACCTTTTTACAGGTTTTCCTATTACGTTTTTGTTTATCAAATGGACACAAGTATGTTGCTTTAGGTATTTATGCACCAATAGTGCTTGCATGTGTAGTCAAGCCCCCAAAACACATTTCAAAACAGAAAAATCCCTGTCTTTTATTTATGATGTTGTCATTACTGAATTGTATTGTTTTTAAAATTAAAACTATATATCCATTAAATGTAAGATTTAACAAACTTGTCCATATAGAATATTTCTTTCAGATATTTAGGCTGCAATCACACTAATATTTTCTAGCATGAGTTCAGATTTTTTTTTGTTAATACTAACATGAAATATAATTGAGTGAGGTAATAGATGTGGGTGTCTCTCTCATTATGTCTAAAAGTCTTAGTTTATGCCCACCATAGGCCTTATTCCAGGAAGCAGGTTAAACAAACTCTAGTCTAGTCTAGTCTCTGGTGATTAACTCTGAGATTGACAGGTCTGGGTTTTCAGTTCCAGAACAGCTGATCAGACTTAGTTCAGTCAACTAATTCTGAGTTTAGCACGTGTATGAGTAGACAAAGAAAGAAAGACATCATCGGTGTAGCTCTGATATCAGGATTCACCTGGGCAACAAGTAAATAAAGAGCATATCTGCTTTAATGTTCCCCAGTTCCACCATTTATGGTCTAATCTAATAGCAGCCTTCACTGATAAATGATAACTCTCTTATGCCCATAGCAGACATTTACTGATTTATAGTTTCTAAGTAATGCTAGCTGTTTTACATTCAACTCAAAATATGGAGGGCAACTTTACGAGTCCATAAAGAATGTTACGTTTTATCAGTAAACGCAAACATTTTATGAGAAATATCTAAGATTTTATAGAGCTATACAGGCCTAATCCTGTATGGGTGGAATTGTGACATTAAAAAACAATAATTCCTAAAAGAAATTTAATTTGTAGTTCTAAATAAATTCTAAATGCATTTAGGACATTTTTTACTCACTTTATGTCTCGTCCACAATGTTATTTCTCTCTCCACCAACGTAGGTTACAATTACATTAGTATGACCTATTATGCAAATTAGGCAATGATGTCATTTAGTGACTTTTAGGACAGCCAATAGCAATTTTCCTTACTGAGGAGTTGGCAACACTGCGTGAGGCTCCTGACTACGGCAACCGTAGTGCTCCGGCAATCCATCAAGCAGTGCGCCTTCATAGCTTACCAAAGTCGTACTAAAACATTTTTTGACAGATTTCTGTGTGCCGTGTACTACATAAAATTGGTTCGAGGTCAGTAAGCACAGCCAGAATTCATACATAAGGCACACTGTTGATTTTTGAGAAAATTAAAGGATTTTAAGTGTGCCTTATAGTGTGTAAAATACGTTATACAGAAGAAAAGAATATATCGCGATATATATCGTTACCGTACATGCTTCAAATTATACCGTGATATGGATTTTAGACCATATCGCCCAGCCCTACTGTCCAGCCATACAAATGCACTTGGATTCAGAGTCACTTCTACCTGGATAAACCCACTTAGAGTGATTGAGAGGATTTTAAGTGGAAAATGTGTTAAGGTTCAGACTCTGAATTTCAGACAGACATTTAAAAAATATTGTTTGATATCATTTAATAACTGAACCTGTCAACACATTTCACAATGTTCATGGTTGACTGTAGCTCAGGAGGTAGAGCAGGTCATCTACTAATTAGAAGGTGGTTAGATCTCTGGCTGCTCCAGTCTGCTTGCCAGATATCCTTGGGCAAAATACTAACCTAGAAAGCAATTGAGCATAGAAAAAGCTGCTTGTGTAAATGGGTGAATGAGGCATGCTGTATAAGCACTTTGAGTGCTCAGCTAAAGAAGAAAAGCACTATATAAGAACCAGTTTATTTACCATTTAACACAGAATGTCTGAAGCCTGCATTTTAAAAAGTCAGTCAAATGCATGTAGTCTTAAACATATTTCAATGATGAAATGAAACCAAGTGTCATTCAGCTGATTCAGGTACAGCAGGAGGGAATGAGTCAGAGAAGAAAATCTGCCAGTGAGCAGGATAGGTTTAAAGAGTATGTTACCATGGTAATTGAATCAGAGTTTAAGTTAACTCTCTTTCAGGAACAGAAAACCTAGATTTGCACAAATCTCTGTGTTTGTTTTTTGTTTGTTTTTTTTAAAAACCCTCTGTTTTAGTGAAACCCGTTTCCTGTGATAGGGCCGAGGCTAAAATGCAACTAAAATGAGGTCAGCACCATTAACAAGGAACTGTGTTCAGTTTAGCCTGGCTGAGACCCAGCTCTCTTTGCAGAATGCAGTTTTCTGAGCTGTCACAAATTGACTAAAATTATAAAATAAGCAATTTAAGATTGCGTTTGAGAGTTAATCTGTGATTGTTCTACCTCTTAGATGCACTGGGATTTTGATATGTACATCAGGAACCGTGTGGATACATCTCCCAGCCCTGTGCCATGGTCCACAATGTGCAAGCAACTGTTTGGTTTCATTGGGTTCATGCTGTTTATGTTTTATGTTGGAGAGAAATTTCCAGCATACCAACCTGTTGTAAGTACACACCTTAATGCAAGAATTTGGTTTTCTTTGTTTTTTTGTTGGTGTTTTTTTTCCCTCACTGTTACAATTTTCAGCAGCTTAAAAATGGCTGGATCATCATTCTTTCAATTTTATAGTTTAGTTTAGCCACTATAACTTACTCTTTATGGTTTCCTTCTTTTTTGTTGTTGTTCTTTTTTTTTTTTTAAAAAATCTAAATGTCTCTCACATTGACATGGTGTCAGAGCCAGATACAGAGTTAGAAGGATGGACCCCTCTAAACCCCCAGAAAGCTATTTCTGTTCATCTAGACGTTCTGTTATCAGTAAGAAAAACATTGCATCACTTATCCAAGCGACTTCTTCAGTTTGACCTCAGTCTTATCTGGATGGTTGAGCATGGATCAAGGCAATACCCCTAAACTAACCCTAGTTAATAAAGATTTCTTATTAACACTAGATTCTTTTGCAGTCTACTGGCCGATTTGATGATTGTTGATACAGAGGAAGATACTAAACATGGCAAAACACATGATCTCCATAATTATATTTACTAAATATTTTATTTTCAGTAATTATATAACAGTGTATGTTAAAGTTAGAATCACCTTTTCTGTACAGTAACACTGTTGGTGTACAAGCTTTCATTAAAGGAATTGTCTTTT